CCTCTTTTCTGAAGGGTCCCACATGGGTTAGAGGTAGCCTATTTTGTTCTCTCTGCTGTGCCTGAGCGTTATTGATTGTTAAAAAAAGTGCGTGCATTGTAAACTGAGGACTCTCCAACTGCAAAGTGAACTAGAAATATATGCATGTGAAAGGAGAGTGCCAGAATGAATACTGTCTTGCTTGTTCACTAATTAAAGAGTGGACAATCACAACCACACTACCACACACCTCCTTCTGCAACGGATCTGTGACAGACTCATCGTGAAGATGAAATGAAATGAAATCCCACAAGACTATGGTAAGTTTTTTTTTTTTAGAAATTCAGTGCAATCAAGTGTTTACATGCTATCAAATGAGTTAGAAAAGGTTTATCCGACCCCTCTTTTGGGGCATTTTTTTATTCCGACTATAATCGGAATACGAAAACGCATCTATTGTTGTAAAGATGTTGAATAGCAGATTAATAAAACAATTTATATATTAAAAAGGAGAGGTTCTTTTCATCTGTAAAACCTGATGAGTTAGTTCAACTCAAACAGTTTGTGGAAACCGATTGCCTTAAATCATTTAAGTTTATTAACTCAAACAATTGAAGCATAAAAAAATATTTGATTTGTTTCCAAGTCACTCAATAACTTATTGTTAAGATAACTTGGGTAAATAAAGTTAATAGTACTAATTAGTTACCATAACTTAAATCTATGAAGTACACTGTAAACCCGAACAAGTTGGCAGAACTCAAATCACTTTTAATAGTATAAACTTAGTTAGCTTTAAAAGCTAATCTGCTGACGTAGTAAATGCTAACATATTAGAAACAGTACGTTATAAGCACCTATAAGCACAGAAGCACTTGCTGTATGAGCGTAATAATATAAAGGGATAATTTGCTCTTGATCAAGCTGAATGCACCACTTGTCACCATGATGGTAACTATCCTAAAGCCAACATTAACAGAAATTCTTCTAAATTAGCATAACAAAGCATTAATCACTACTAAAAAAAAACATTATATTGCACTTAATTTTAGCATTTACACTCTCTTTCGAGTGCCATCGGCAAAGCATGCTGGGAAATAGATATCCCAGCCGTTTCAGTTAAACTTCAGTTCGTCTAAATTAAAACAAATAATTTCATAAAACTCAAAACAATCAAACAGTTCAGTTTACTTAAAACATATCAGTTCTGTGAACTTGAAAGAAAAAGAAAGTGCTAAATACTCATAACAATTAATTTGACTGAACTAATTCGTTGAATTATTTTGACCGTTAGGGTTTACAGACTATCATAAGATTCATCACGTCCAGTGTCGCGCATAACGTCGCTAATTTTGGGGCTGATTTTGAGAGTTTGACTCAGCAGTCATTATATAAACTAAATGTAACCTTTTAGATGTAAAAATGACATGCTTTTATATTATATTTTCCCAGCATTTCTTAATTTTTCACAATGTGGATAGTGTGTGTAAAGGTGGGCCTGAGTCATATTCCAATGAGCAGTGTTTAATCTAAGCAGTGTGTGTATTTGTCTGAGCCAGCTGAAACACGTCCCACACCGCCAGTCTGACTGCAACAAAACAACATAAATCTCCAGAAGCTCAGGGCCGTAAATAAGTGCCCTGCTATTTAGGGAAGAAGAGAGAGAGAGACAGAGAGACTCCCAGAGAGTCTTTAACTCCTCATTCTCTCGGTCTCGAGAGTCGTAGGCACTTTACAAACCCTTTAATACAGCCACTGTATCACACACAGACCACCAAACACTGTGTAGCTCGGATCACTTCCATGCTGTCTCTAAATGCTTCTTGTTTGGGCTCATTAAAGTAGCCCATTGCATGTGTTCTCCATTAGGCCTGCACAAACATGTGGCCATTTCCATGTGGTCATTTTACTCTTCCATATGTTCACAGGAATCTGCTCATAATTCCTCTATCCATGCCATATCTGTTTATTAATCTTCAACTATCATCTCATTCTTCTGTGGAAAAGACCTCTGTGTGAGATGTGTCTCTTACAGCTCCAGGCGAGATCTCAACAATGGCTTAAACTGAAGTCAAAAGACTTCAAATCTCTATTGTTTCTCCTGGGCTAAAATTGAGACATTTCAGCAGATCATACCGAGATACCAATGTTTGCAATAAAAAGTGTTCTTGTTCAATGACATAAATGAGATTATATGCAGATCAAATGGAGACTTTTCTTATTCTATTTCTCCATTTTATGTCTCCATTTAAGTATCAGAAAAGATCTCAACATCTCAAACTGTGCTCATTTCATTCAAGATGCCCAAATTTGCAAAGTTCGAGATTTCACACATTACCAGTCAAAAATGAGATCTTTTTACCATCTCAATTGTTTCTCCTAATCAGTTAGATAAAATGGTATTTTCAGAATGTCTCAAGCTGTGTTAAAATATGCCAGATAATACATATAAAGTCATCCAATTGAGATATCTTTTAAAATTAGTGATAGCAATGCTATATTAAAAGAGAACAAATGAAAATGTCGTGCTTGTCAGAAAAAGAAATCATACTCCATGAAGTCTCTTGCGAGCAAACTTTGAGCTTTTCACTTTTTGAGTACATTTTGAAAATGTTCGTTCCAGTTTTGTCGTCTCTGTGCTGTTATTTCCTTTCTCCCTCTTTTCAGGACGTCTTTCACAGCCTGTCACTTTCCTGCGCTCATTTGTACGCTTTATTCTGACACGTCGAGGTGAAAGTGTGCTGGGGAACTGAAAACACTCGGCCGCATTCACGCAGCGCGGGGCCACGGCGTCTGAATGCGGGAGCCACTGAAGCGTGCACTCCTCTTTCTCAGTGCTCCTCCTCTTTTCTCCCTTGCTTCGCTCCCCTCCTGCCCTGTCTTTGTTGCCAGGGGTTTTGGGGGTACAGAGGAGCTGGTGTGGGGGTAAGGGGTTTGTGTTGTTGTCTCACTGGGGCCTGACTTGCCATTTCTTAATGGGTTTCACAGCGGCCTCCGGCGAACAAAACAGGCCAGGGGTAGCACAGCTGAAAGAGTGCAGTGGACGAGTGAACATTGTTCATCCTGTTTTCCCCCACCAACCTTTCTCTAGTACTCCCTGAAATCCTCATGGCTCCCAGAGAGAGAGAGAGAGAGAGAGAGAGAGAGCAGAGGCCCCGTGAGGACAGAGGTAAACACAACCCTCATGTCTGCTCCTTCTCCTCCCAGTTTCCATTACTCTCTCACACATTCTTTGTTTTTTTCCATAGATGTAAAATTACACCCATTTTTTTTCTTTTCTACTTTTCAAAATGCCTCTTTAAATATAGAAAATAACAAATAACACAAAGATAATACCAGACAATGAACATATAAGCACACAAAGATGAGCTATATTAACTAGACACAGGTGAAATGAATCATTTAACAACCATAAACCATGGAAACCAAATATACACTTGAACAAAGGAAATTACTACGTTTTTCCTTCGCGTTTTTCGCATGCTGATGACAACGTTGTCAAAATGATCCTTCCCACTTTGAAAGGGTGGGATGGTTGAAAGTTGAGGATCGAGTTGATGCAGCTGGGTATGGTACATAAAATTGTTTATGGAGATGTTCCCAAATATTTTAGAAATTATTTTAATAGAGTAAACGAAGTTCACAGGTACTCCACTAGGGGTAGCTCAACCGATTTTGTACCCCCCAGAGTTAATACAAATCTGGGCACACAGTCTTTTCTTTATGTTGGAACTACCCTTTGGAATCGATTACCTGGTACACTGGTACCTGGTAATTTTAAACAAATAAGTTACATTTTTACAATACCATAGTTTATTTTTTCTGTATATTATGTATGAATTTGGTTAATATATGTGAATGATTGATGTGTGATGTGTTGCCACTTGTCTTCTTCTGCTGCCTTTATAAGGGACCACAATGGAAATAAGTCTTCGGGCTTTATTGTGTTATCCCTAACTACTTTTGTGTGATTTTAATCAATGTATGAAACAGTTTCAGACTGTTTTCATGTTTTTATATTTAAGTGGTCAAATAAAATCATCCAAATCAAAATCCTCGGTCACACGGCTCTGCAACAAGGACTGTATTATGCTGCCAGGCCAGTAGTTGGCGATGTCACTTTATAAAGAAACACGACGTGCATATGGGGAAGGGTGAAATAGTTGCGTGTCGCCCGCCTATCAACAACCTACCTATCCCAGCATAAACGCTCTTGTTATTAAAATATTTACAGGTGACATTTACTATATATCATATAGGTGACGCTATATGACAAAACGGCGAAATACTACGCACATGGCACCCTTTATCATTAATATAACACACGAACCCAAGGCGTCATGAATCCTTCTACCCTACCCCACACCTAAACCTAACCTATCCATCACAACACGTGTTATATTAACGATAACGGGTGCCATGTGCGTTATATTTCGCCGTTTTGTCATATAAAGGATGAGAATGCAGCCAGTTTGAATAATAAATAGCCAAACCATTGCCTTGCCTAATGCTAAAAAACAAATTCTTCAAATTCTGAATAGATTATCATCTAGATAGCATGCATAAAAGCCTTCGCTTCATAATCACTAATTTGTCAATCATTCATCTTAATTCATTGCGATCTCACAAGCTGTACAATAAATCTTATTTAGCCTACATGATGTCTACACTTTTTTGTTACATTATAAGTTAAATACTAACGAGAGTATTTGAGTGTGCAGATCTCCGAAAACTCCGAACTTAAATACGTCTGATTGGCCATTGCGTTCAAGAAATCATCCAATATGTTTGCGATTGGCTACATTGCTCAACGCTGCAAAAATACGTTGTAAATAGAAAAAAAACTATTTATATTAGTTTGAACGCTCTCAAGAGCACAACCACTAAACTATAGAAAACTATATAGAATATATGAAAAGCAACAACTAAGAGAATTTGAAAAATGATCACTCAAAAACAAAAAGCTTGAAAGTGAAAATAAGAAAAAAAAAAAAGACTGTTGTCTTGAAATCCAGCTGAAAACCATTAGTTCAATAGCTTGTTATTGTAATGGTTCAGGACGAGTTATGCGTTAACATTTTGAAATTAGTGGTTTAGAACATATCCCAAAGGTATGATCAATATGGTGAGGCTTTCTTGTGCTGCATTCAGATTCAGGGTAACCCCTGATTCATGTGCAGATGTGGTGCTGAGAGTACCTTCATAGCTCACTGTCACACCATCGGGCGGTCCACTGGGTAAACAAGGGGCTGCCCATATGGCCGAGGGCCCTGTCTACCCTTGCTCTGTAAGCCAGCAGTCTGCAGAAAGTCAGAAAATAGGTCGACTCTCCTGACCACAGCTCCCCTGCTGGAACATATGGGTGTGAACGTGTGCACACACACACACACACCTCCAGAGAGTGTTACAAGGTGTCAGTGGTGGAAGATGGACGAGAAGAGTCTGGTTTCCATTAACTGCATCGAAGGCCTGGACTGGAGAAGTCGGTCAGGAGATCAGCTTCAGTGGTTTCCTACAGAAAACTATACATTATTAATTTTACTTTGAAAGCTACACTGTGTAACTCTTTTAGTTTATTCTTAGCTAAAAACACTTCTTTCAAAAAATATATGTGTTCATTAATGTATATTTACTTTGTTCAAGTAATAAAGTATTCTTGTGTGAGTGTATAATATGCCATTAAAAATACATACGGGTAAGCGGTCGCCATGTTGCCCCTCCATCTTGAAAGTACATTAGCCAAAGAGGGACATACCCGTTAATTCAAGCTTCGCCTTTCACGTTTACGTTTGAGTTAACACTCATGGACGAAGTCGAACTGGAAGCCATGTTAATCTTGGACTACGTTGGCCACCGTAGGATTTAAAACGAAATCGAAATTGAGAGGAACAGAAACTAATATTCACTTAATATACCTTTTCACCGCTAGATGGGGGTAAAAATCACACAGTGTAGCTTTAAATGTCATATTTAGCAACTTGCATAACAAAATCACAGTAGGCATACCAAATTAGGATCAAAAAGTTGACAAATCTCAGAGTGTGGCACATATATTTCTCTAACAATGCTGGAAGCAGATAAAATGAAAAAGACAATTACAAACACATTAAAAATGGTAGTGTTTTGTAATCGTCTCTTTTCCAAAATTATGCATGATTTTTGCTATATTGCTTTGTTATTGATTTGTTAAGTGTTTGTCATATAATATTATTATTAAAGTTTAATTATTATATATTATCAGTATTTATAAAACACTAAAAAAGTTTTGAAATGATTGAAAAATCACTATATTCTTTATTCCTGATTTTCATAAATAATTATTATTTGTATTATTATATATATATATTAAATAACTACAGTAGAATGATCTCTGATTTTCAAATATATAAAAATAAACTTACTAACTAAATTTTTTGTACAGCAGGAAGACACACATTAGCATATGATACTGCTAATTATCCAAACATTATTCAATAGTAAGTCATCTGTTCACAGCCTGATTAAAATATGCAGTTATGTTGAGAGTAACTTTAAGATTGTAATGGCTTATGACTTGTAATATTCCAGTCAACGATACACAATCTTGTCAATTCTCCGCAACAAGTGCCTGCTTAAGTTTAGGCAACATTACAATACTCAAAAACGTTTTTTTTTGCTTCTAGGGGCCTTCAGGTGGAGCGAACTGTTAATACAATAACCAGTTGGTATCACAACGTTCACAATTCCCAGAGCGATCACCGATACGCCTCATGTCTTAGCCGTATAGGTTTTCAGTTTTGCTGTATGACCCGATTGAGAAGGGAACATTGTTTGCTCAAGTTTCCACCCCCTTATCAGACAAATGGGTTCAGTCACAGCGAGAGCAAGCAGGCTAATTGAGCCTTTGAGCAAATGTACCAATGGTTCGAACAATTCTATATTGCTGTAGTATAATGTATCATTGTCACTGTATGTTATTTTACCTCATTCACAACCGAGAGAGAGAGAGAGAGAGAGAGAGGTTGGTCACGGTGGCTATAATGTGTCTGCCCTGCAGCGATCTGCACCCTTCCGCTCTGGTCTTTGAAGCATGGCTCTGTTTGCTACCTTTTCATTTTATCACCTCCACCTCTTTCATTTGCTCTTGTGGTGTGTCTGGTTTGTGTGTGTGTGTGAGAGCCCAGCTCTTTCCAGTGGCTGACATTCTCATGGCCTGCGCTGAGCATGTTGCTTTCTCTTCCTCAGGATGTGGCGGTCCGTGAAGAGTCGTTCTCTCACGTCTGCTCTCTTCACCTCACTGAGACTGAACATACGTTGTGGTGTAGATAGTAGGTTAGAGGGCCTGCGTGCGCTCTTGAGTGGAGAGGCCGACCCTGGGGGGTTTCTAATGGAAAGAAAATGATTTCGACAGTGAATGGCATTTCGTTTACGTGCCGTTTCTATGATTTCCTTGCATCTGTTGTGCTGTGCGTTTTGTTGCATTTTGTGTCAGTAATTTCTTCTTAGTCATGCCCTTGTCAAAAAGTGGACTTAATTGTTTAGAGTGTGCACCTGTAGTGTACTTCAAAGCACATTAAGTACACTTAAGTGGCCTGAAGAGAGTTCACATTCATGACAGTTTCTCAACACACTTTGTAACAATGTCAAATTAAAAGTTTTACTTAAAAGTACATTTTAAAAAAGTTGTTTTAATAATTTTTAAACATACATGTAAAGAACTTGATTATAATTGTAACTGTTCAATTTGATTTTACATTCAATATTTTAATAGAAATGACATAAAGCATATTTTAGTTTAACCTAAATTATTGTCAGATCATTCAGCAGAACTATGGAAACACGAGGGCTAATGATGACAAGGAACCCCTGAGAACAATCAAACAATGAACCAATGACAAAACAGAACTGAGAAACACATGACCCGAACTACCAATCAGAAGAAGACACACAGGGGGAGCACATGACAGACTAGAAAACAGGAAGCAGGACACATGACTAAGAATTTCAAAATAAAAGACATGATCACCAAAAAAAAAAAAAACCTAAAAACAACATGACAGTCCTAATTATGTCCGAACAAATAATTTTTGTTCAACTAATATTTAATATACATTTAAACAGTGCATTTTCATTTAATTATAAATAACATGAAAATAAGTACAAAAACATTACTTTCCCTATATTATTTTCCTAATAAGAACTACTCTTCTTAAAACTATGCTATTAAGTGTACTTTTTCATGCTTTCCACAAAGATTCACTTATTGCTAATATCTGAAGCTACGAACTAACAAGCGCTCAGAACTCCCTAGCAACCGCATAGCGATACCCTGGCAACCAGTTTTACATGAGCAAACCCCACTCACCTTGAAAATGTACAAATCTAGCTCTTTATCTTCTCTCTCTATCCTTGTTCAGTGGATCGCTCTGTGCCGAAAGGAAGCTTTGGCAGATCAAGACGCTTCCATCTGTAACCTGTAATACTGCAAATGAGTCACAAATCACTTTAATTAGAGGCTCAGTCTGTGGAGCTGAGTGGAGAGCACCGGAAAGCAAACTTCTGTTTCCTCTCCTACAAAAAAAAAAAAAAAAAAAAACTACAGACACACAGTCACACTCATAGGAAATAAAAGTCACAAATGAGAAAACTTTAATATCTCAGTTGCTTTTATGGGCAACATTGACAAATTCTTCAAACAAAAGTTTAATAAAAAGTCAAAGATTTCAACCCATTCTAAAGTCTGCGGTCTATACGTTTATTTATCGTTTTCTTTTTTTCTTTTTAAAGAAATTAACAGTTTAACTCAGCAAGTTATTTTAAACCTTCTATTCATCAAAGAAAATGTATCAGTGTGTGTGTGTGTGTGTGTGTGTGTGTGTGAGTGTGAGTCAGTCTGTGTAGTTACTGGTCTTCTTTTTATTAAGCTCATAGATATTAATTAGTTTAATGATGTGAGGCTTTTTTTTACACAGGCTATATATATCTGAAAGACAACCTCTACATTACACCTCAATTAGCCTTTAATCCATGTTCCATTATTTCACCCCATTTCATAAAATACCAGATAACTATTTTGGAAGTGAACAGGGATTATATCAGCTCTCCCTAATAGATTAATAAAATTTCCCGGCAAGTCCGTCCCGGTGCTTGTTTCATTGGATTTGGCAGATACAATTTAGCAGCATTAATGAGCATTTAATGAGCAAGTCCCATAGAAACCCATGCCTCTCTGCTTGGGTTGCTGTAGGTCTTACACTTCTGGAACTGAATCGCTCAAATGTTGTATAGACACGGTGGTTTAGGAAATAACTTGGTCTTTTTAATGCTGTTTAATGTGTGTTTGTAATGATGCACATGTACAACCGTAGTGATGAAGGGTTTTGTGGGAAGCTCTAAAAGAAGAGAAGCATGATCTCTAAGCTACACAAGCCACACATCCTGTGAATATAGAAAATAGATCCATCTTTGGCCAAAGCAATGGTATTCGAAATGAGCACATGAAACAGACTTTGATTGTTTTATACAAAGCTAAATTATTAATCATACCTAGGACTGACAATCAATATGAGAGAGAGAGACAGAGAGAGAGAATATTTGTATTAGTTAATTCTGAATTGTTTTTAATACTTCACATTAAGGTCACATTAGTTAACATTAATGTATTGTTTATTGTTTAGTTTGTGAACATTAGTTAATAAAAATATAGGCTACCTACAACTGTTCATAGTTAGTTCATGTAGGTCAGGTCCATTAATTAATATGAGCATACATTTTTATTTTAAAGGGGTGGTTGATTATGATTTCACTTTTCTAACTTTAGTTAGTGTGTAATGTTGCTGTTTGAGCATAAACAACATTATCAAAGTTACAACGCTCAAAGTTCAAAACAAAGGAAGATATTTGCTTTTAAAGAAAAGGACTACAACAAACGGCTGGTAGGAACTACACGAGCTTCCTCCCGGGTTAGTGACATCACCAACTCTAAAATGTACATAAACCCAGCCCCCGGGAACAGAGTGTTTGTATAAGAGAACATTTGTGAGTCAGTTCAAACTTTATCATCCATCTTTTCACATGCAATAGAAAGTCACTCTGTGTGCATCTCACAACAGTTCCTATACCAGCAATTTATAGATTACATGACCGAATATCCTAATTAAAGATATTTAACTTCACATCAGCAACATAAATTCATCAACTAACCATTCATAGACATTCTGTTGCAGTCTACATGTTGTCACTTCTTCTTGAGTCTCTCCATCTTTGATTGACTCCATTTTAACATTAAAGGAGAACCTTATCTGTCATTTTAATCGAAGCTGCTAACATACATTAGCTCTTGATTGCAGCAGCTCATTTGCATTTAAAGGGCCAGGCACAAAACGGTGGGTGCGTTTTTGCTAACCCTCAAAAAGTGACAACTTTAACATGCTAATATCTGTGGGGTATTTTGTGCTAAAACTTCACATACACACTCTGGGGACATCAGAGATTTATTTTACATCTTGTGAAAATGGCATTTTACCATCCCTTTAATAATGTATTAGGAAATGTTGAAATTAACATTAACAAAGATTAATACAAGAATAGTTCTTAGTAAGAAGTATTTTCCATTGCTATTCATGCTAATATTATATTCTAATATAATATTAGCATGAATATAATAATATTATAATATTAACATGCTAAAATAATATTCATGCTATTCATGCTATTAATTAATGGAACCTCATTGTGAAGTGTTTATATTCCAGTTTTTTTTGTATCGATAGTTTTTAAGGGTTACCTGGACCACACACACAGACACACTCACACACACAAATGCTACAATGCTAGCTGTGGCTAATGAACCACAGCAGTAAGGAGTCATAACAACAGTGAATCCACTTCTAAGCTGTTTAAAGTATTTCAGCCTTTGTCTTCGCAGGACACCTGTCTCTCTTCAACTCCACAAAAACACAGTAATTGGATCTTAACACATACGACAGAAACAGGAAACAAAGGAAGCCGTTTGTGAAGTTAATACTCGGCACTGCAGTGTCTGCGCTTACCGGAGGCCCAATCTGTCTGTGGCTTTGTGCACACAGCCCCATTAATCCACATTACTGCTGGATTAATTTGGTTTGCGAGGGAGATGTTAATAAATGCACTCTGAGAGGCTGCCTGCGATTGATCACCGCTTCCCGTTGCTGCACGCTCGCTCCTGTTAACTGGCGGAGAGAGATCCATCAACCTTTCATGCGTACACTACACGGGGTACTTGAATATGGCACATTTTAATGTCTCATAATCTCTCAATCTTCAAAGAACACAATAACTGCAGGTTCTCTCGCTGGCTTTATTTACATGAACTGCGGAGTTGCAATAACACTTAGCTGCACAAGCTTAGCACATCCTGTGTACAACTAAAAGACAATCAAGGATCCACATTGTTTGGGTCTCAAAGACAAACACAATTATGTCCTACAGAAATCTTTCACCAGAAAATAAACGAATTGAATTCTTTTGGGCTTTTTTAAGACTAGCAAACCTGCTAATGCTGTTGCAGGTCTAGCATCACTTATTTCAGTTATCGTTAGCTAGGCATTATTGTTGTTTCCTGCATAACATGAGTTCGGAGGCAGTGTGTACCAGGTGGAGTTAGTGATAAAACCATAAGACAAGCTAAGGTAGTACACATTTCACTTAAATTTTGCTAACAACAAACATATTTTCAAAACCCTGTCCTCCATGTCAGCAAATTAAAACCAGGGAGGTCTATAAAAACCTGGAGAATATGATTAACATTCCCATTTATCTAAATAGCAGTTGCTCAGATGGTGCAAGAAATAAAAGTTTAAAAATATGGTGAAAGTTTGAAAATATAAAATCTGTGTGTATGTGGTGTACTTATGAAATCTACCAGCAGAGGCTAACACTAACCACCTATGTCAAAAATGCACTTCAGAATAGTTTTAAAGTAGGCCAATTTATTATAATCTTTATAATCTGTACATCTTTAAATGTAATTTCATTATTATCTTTTTGTTAAGTTGAAGTGGTTAAAGTGTATTGCCGATTTGGTAGATTATATGCTTCCTTGAATTTCAATTATATTAATTTATTAAATGCATCTAAATTTATAATTACACATTTGTAATGATGAAGTTTAGTGCATTTTTAGATATATTAACTTTAAATGTATATCAAATAATAATGCACAAGTTAAATAATAATCAGTTACTTTACATGTGATGCATGTTATTAAAGGGTTAGTGCACCCAAAAAAAATTATGTCATTAATGATCCAATAAAGTCGTAGTTTTTGTTAGTTTTGGACCAAAATGTATTTTCTATTTTTTTGTACTATTTTGATGATGTCTGTATTTACTTTCTGGACAAGGACAGTATACCGTACACATTTTAAATGGAGGAAGTCATTAATGACATAATTTTCATTTTTGGGTGAACTAACCCTTTAACACACCAAACTAAGTATACTACTTAAATGCATGATTCAAATGTACTGTAAATAAAACTTTTAATTATATATCACAAAGTGAAGTTTTTAAAAGAGTTCCATTAGTCATGAATGTGTACTCTCTTTAAGTGAACTTAGTGGCCTTTAATTTAATGAATATTTTATTACCTGCATATACTTTTAAGATTTGATGTGCACTATACGTGAACATTCATTACAGTTGAGTGCACTCTTTTTCACAAAGGCAGTCAAACCTTCACCATGTGAGTGTTAAACTAAAAAGCAAACATAATGTCACAACACAACGAAAATTAAAAAGCAAACATAAGGTCACAACACAACGAAACTAAGCCACAACACAAATAAATGACAGAAATTCACAACACAACGGAAATGAGCCACAACACAACGGAAAATGTACAACACGACGGAAATAAGCCATAACATAACAAAATAAAGCCGCAACACAACGGAAAAAAGCCATAACACAACAAAATATAGCCGCAACACAACGGAAATGAGCCGCAACACAACGGAAATGAGCCACAACACAACGGAAAAAAGCCATAACACAACAAAATATAGCCGCAACACAACGGAAATGAGACACAACACAACGGAAAATGTGCAAGACAACGGAAATAAGCCACAACACAACAAAATAAAGCCGCAACTCAACGGAAATGAGCCACAACACAATGGAAAATGTGCAACACGACGGAAATAAGCCACAACACAACAAAATAAAGCCGCAACACCATGGAAATGAGCCACAACACAACGGATATTGTGCAACACGACGGAAATAAACCATAACATAACAAAATAAAGCCGCAACACAACGGAAATGAGCCACAACACAACGGAAAAAAGCCATAACACAACAAAATATAGCCGCAACACAATGGAAATGAGCCACAACACAACGGAAAATGTGCAACACAACGGAAATAAGCCACAACACAACAAAATAAAGCCGCAACACAACGGAAATGAGCCACAACACAACGGAAAATGTGCAACACGACGGAAATAAGCCATAACACAACAAAA